CAAGACTAGGGCCAGGAACAAGAATGTCACCAATCAGCCGGGCGTTGGTGACACACGCCTTTAATCCCAGCACTTGGGAGGCAAAGGCAAACAGATCTCTGTGAGTTCGAGGCCAGCCTGGTCTACAGAACAAGTTCCAGGACAGCCTCCAAAACAATACAGAGAAACCCTGTCTCAAAAACCCAAAAAAAAAAAAAAAAAAAAAAAAGAATGTTACCAATCCCCGAGCTTGTCCCATGATCAGGCCACCCTGGAAAGCGCCACCCCCGCACACAAGAAGCCCTACATAAAGCTTGACTTCTGCTCAGTTCTCTGCTGCTACTCACCCGAGCAGAGGCAGCTGAGAAAGGCAGGCGTCAGAGGTCCTAGGGCAACGTCTGGAGAAAGGGAGTTGAGATGATCTCCGCCGGTGAGAAAAAAATATTAGGCGTCCTTGTCTAGCATCCCTGTCACACAATAGATGCCTTTCTGTCATCCTCCCCGTAGGTTCTTAGGTCTCTGGCTACCGGACACACGTTTTTTAGTCCCTTTCTAATCTCCAGTAATGCCTACAAATCTATGCCTGCATAAACCAACCAAGCTAGAGGAGTATGCAAAAGGTTAGCACTTAGAGTTGTTGTAAGACAGACTGATAATCAACACACAAAGAACGCGCAAAATAGTAGTGATGCTATCTGAGAGAATAACTTTATTCTTGCCGAGGCATGCCAAAGTATTCAAACGTGGACTGACAGGATTTCTGCAGAGACTTATTCTCAAATGGCCTGGAGCGAGGTGGTACATGAGTAGTCAGTGAGGTAATGGATTAGGGGAAAGGCATGATAGTACTCATCACATGATTTTCTCTAAGCTTAAAAATGTTCTGTGGAAAAAAACCAATGACAAATATGTATGTCCCCAAAATACACAGCATCTACCGTAACCCCACCTATAACTCCTACAAGTGTATTTAGCTGGGGGAATGGGTTCTTTTGTTCTTATATTTTGAATTGTTCTACATCCATATGTATATATAGCTTTTGTACCCACATAATATTTATATAAAACTTAAGCGACACCAAAGACCTACTCAACTGTCCCTCAGGGGCTTCCCGCTACAACCTTGTGACTGGACCTTAGCGAAATAAGTCACTCACAAACCATTTCTCAATGGGGATCACTAGTTCCTTAAGCCTCCCCATACACTTCCTTCATGAGCTACTGCCCGCACAAAACCGCCCTTTAAACTGCCCTACCAGAACAAATGGCTTCCGTCACCACTGAGTGCACAAAGGATTCCGCCCACAAACCTCCCTGGCTCCCCAAAAAGCTCCCACCCCACCTATGGTGTGAGTCACCACCCTCCCCCCACCTCCCGAGGTCAGCCTCAAGGAAACACTGGTTTGATGTTCAGGATTTCTCAGTTACTAAGCTAAGAGCTTGTTCTCTGGAACCGGCCACCCTTATGCTTGCCGCCCTAGAGACCCAGCCCTTGGATCCTACCCTGGAGAGCAGGTCCAAAGAAACGGAGGCCTCTGAATATGTAAGTATTATAACACAACAGTGCAGTGGTGTCCCAGTCCAGGCAAGCACCATCCCAGCCCTAATGTTTTGGATGACATAATTTGGAAAGTATTTTAAACATCACGGGTAAAAAGTTTCTCTGTAAAAACCTAACCAGTAATTCCCTAGTCCCTGAGTCAGCTCTTCAGAATGTTACCAACAACTTCTTTATTATTGTTTTTATTATTATTATTATTATTATTATTTTTAAAAATGTTTGTAGGCATGGGAGGTTTCCGTACGCAGGCCAGAAGAGGAAGGACATCGGATCCCCAAGGACCGGAAATGCTGGGAGCCCACAAGCGGATGCCGGGAACTGAAACCGAGTCCTCTGGAAGAGCAGCCAGTGCTCTTAAGCAGTGAGCCATCCCTCCAGCCCCTTCCGTCTTCAGGAGACTCTCTTTCCTGTCTTAATGGACCCCTCCAAAGTTTGCAGAAGGTAGATTTGGGCCAGGTGTGGCACTGACAAACCCGCCTTAGGCTTAAGAGCCGTTTTACAGTGAAGACAAACCATCTATGCCCATTCCTGTTTATGGTTAAACCTCTGTTTCTCAAGGATTGGGCTATGCCCCACCTGTAACCTAACTACAAATGGTTCTGTAGTTCCTGTTTAGGAAATGGCAACCATGACTTTGCTTCTTCATAAGGTTGTTAGGACCATTGAAAGGTTCAGGCATTACGCCGGCCTGCCCTGTGACCGGACAGGGTGCACTCAGGCAGCACTCGGGCCAGCCCAGAGTTCTGTGAGAACCACGCAGGTGCAAAGGACCCCTTTAAAGGACTGACCCCTACCTGCTTACGCTCTCTCTTACTCTCTCTCACTCTCATCCATCTCATCTTCCATCTTCCCTCTTACTCCTCTCTCTCTCTCTCTCTCTCTCTCTCTCTCTCTCTCTCTCTCTCTCTCTCTCTCTCTCTCTCTCTCTCTCTCTCTCTCTCTCCTCTCTATCTCCTCCTCTCTCATCTTCTCTGTCGTGTCTGTCTCCCCCCCCTTTGGTCTCGCTATAATAAACTATGGCTGATATGCTCGCCGTGGCTTGTGCTCCGTCCATCTCGCCGGTCCTTATTCCATATTTAACAACAGCCATCTTGCAACCCTACTTTTGTTATGACTACCTTATGCAGTTCCTGAAACCCCACCTATTTGCCTGCCAAACATTTTGAGACCCCCTTACCCTTGAACTATAAAAACCCCTATCCTGCCCATGTCCGATGCTGACTTCTTGAGCCCCATCTTAGGGGGAGGCAGCCTGTGTACAAACAACTTGCCTTAATTAATTGTTTGCTTTAATCAATTTGGCCATGATGATCTCGGTCGGTGGATTTACCCCTCCCACCTTTGGGATTAACAGCATCTGCCTAAAATCCCAGCACTCAGGAGGGCAGAGACAAATCCATCTCTGTGAATCCTAGGCCAGCCAGGGTGACTTGGGGTGAGGATGACAGCAGTTGAGGGAGATGATGAAATTTAAACGAAGTCTGAGGTTCTCCCCGTCCCCGTGGGGCATCGGAGAGAGTCAGACGGGTGTGCGAGGGATTGTTGGAGAGCAAGGGCAGGCCTGCGCATCTGGGAACCTAAGCAAGAGGACCGGGAGTAATGGAGGGTTGGGTTAGACTTCAGGCCCTGGGAGGGACGGAGTCTGTGTCTTGTGGCTCAGTTAGGTGAGGGTCAGCCGAGTCCTGACTCAGAGAGCAGCAGCTTTTCCTGTTTTTTCCTGTTTGTCTGACCAGAACCTGTGTTTTTTTCCCTGGATCTATGGGCTTCCTTGCTCATATAAAGCTGCCTGCTGTCTCGTGGCTGACCTCTGTACCAGCTTAAGTCAAACGGCCTTTTCTGCTTTTCTTCTCGGTTTTCCTCCTCTGGGAAGCTGCTGAGATTTAGAGCTTGGGATGTTTTTCTTTTAAACTCTAAAAAAAAAAAAGTGTCCCCTTTTAATAAACGTTGGCTTAGCTTGCCTTTCAAACGTGCCCTGCCTTTTAACTACTGCATTAGTAGAGAAAAGAAAGCTGTTCCTGTAGCTGTTCACAGCATCAACAGGAGCAGAGAACGCTGGCTGTGGCTCTAGGAGACGCACCATGTAGCGCCCACCCCCCCGCCCCCGCCCCGCCCCCAGTAACCTCCCCTCACCTAAGCTCCCTCTGCCTAGGCTGACTAAGGCCCGAGGCAGAGTGGGAAGGAAGGCAGGGAGAAGGGCCTCTGTCTTAAAGGGAATACGAGATAGTCTACTCTGCAGCCATTGTAAGTGATCATGGCCTGGGCACACAGATTTAGGTCACCCCAAATTCAGTGTTCCAACGTGGAAGCGGCTTCGTGACGTTTTACGGTTGTATAGAACGAAGAAAGTCATAAATCAATGCAAGTTTAAGATATACTGTTGGGCACATCAAAGAGACAGAGGGAGCTTGCCTATAGGCCCAGGACGCTGGCTGATGGCATTCTCGGCTTTCGGGTTTGTGGAAGATAGTGGTCTGCTAGGTTAATACGTTCTAGGGTTGTTTTTGTTTTGTTTGTTTGTTTTTTATCTATTAGCTACAATATGTTATTAGTTCAGACACAGAGGTGGGCTAGGAATGGCTGGCTGTAGAGGCGGGTGGGAGGGCGGCTAAAAGACCAGATAATCAGCCCCCGGGGCACGCAACAGTCCAACCTCTCCTCAGTGCTGAAATTCTAATCGGCCATTTAGTTTCTGCAGGCACGGGTTCCCCTCTGGAGTTTTCATTCGCGCTGGCATACAGGCCTGGGAGAAACCAAAGGGGGGGGCGGGTCAAAGGGGAGAGACAGGAGCTAGTGCCCATCAGATCTCTGACCTTTGCTTGGCTCAGAGCTGGGTTCAGAGGGCAGGAAGAGGAAGACGAAGAAGGCGAGATTTAAGCAGGAAAATAGGATGCTGGTCCATGCCAAGCATGGCGGTGCACACGTTTGGATCCAGCACACAGAAGGCAGGAGCAGGTGATCTCTGAGTCTGAGGCCAGCCTGGTCTACAGAGTTAAACCCTGTGCCAAAAAAAGAAAAAAAAAAGAGACAAAAGAAAACTTGTCGGCCCGTGTAAAATGGGGGGCAATTGTGATCTCTGAGAGTGGAAGAAGCGGTCTCATCCACAGCATTAAAGGAGCCCAGTGGCATCTGTTTGTCTCACCAACTTAAAGAACGAAATTCTGTTTTTGTCTGGCAAGCACCGTGAGGCGAGCAGCTGCGGGGGGGGGCGTTCCACTGAGGTTGTGGCAGGAACCCGGTGAGGCACAGTTAGCCCGTCAGGCCAGTTGGCGCGCCAACATCGTGTGCAGGTGCCTCTCGGTTTCAATCAGATCCTCACTCGTCGTCTCCAGGATGTACGTGGGGGCGGGGCTGGTGCTGGGGGCGGGGCTGGTGCTGGGGGCGGGGCGGGGCGGGGTGGGCCTGGGGGCGGGCTGGGGCTGGGGCTGGGGGCGGGGCTGGGGCTGGGGGTCCGGGTGGCTCATCTGTTGTGTAAAGGGAAGGAGCAAGGTGACAAGAAGCCAGACCGGGAACTAGAGTGCTCTCTTCTGGGATGCTTCGTCTGTGGCCGAGCCCTTGCCAAGGACATCGCTGGCCTCTGGACAAGGGTAAGAATTAGAACTGCTTGATTCTTAGGGTTCCTCCCCTAAAACTGGCTGACCGGTTAGTACCTCCCGCTCCAGTCACTTTGGGCTCATTTGCATACCGCAGGCTTTCCGAGCACGTTCTGTTGCACACGGTTCCGCTCACAACTTTATGCATCCTGGTGCATCTCCTGTGAACAGTACTGGGAACAGAGGCACAGCTCCGCACTGCCACCTGCATCAGCCTGGGGGATTCTGGTAATCTTTTAGCGGCCTTGGGTAAAACCGGATCCGTGGCTTCAACCAGAAAAATAAATAAATAAATAAAGTTGAGCCAATGTTAAAGGAGCTGCCATGAAAAATGGAAAGAATGCCGCTCAGGGAAGAGTGAGTCATGAGGAAAGCGTGGACGATGTTTTTAACAGATTCTAACCAGGCATGTTGAGAGAAAGTGAGATGCTTAGGGAAACAATAAGATACACTCAAGTGTGGGCATGGGCTTCTCAAGGGAGAGTTGCCATTAAACGCCTCAGCAGTTGCTGTATTTGCCATTTTAGTGGCTTCCAGTTTACATCTGAAAGGGCTGCTGAGATTTTCTTTTCTCCATTTCTTACTTTGTGTGTGTTCGCGCGCACACACACATGCGAGTGCACGTGCGCTCGCTCACGCATGCAACAAGTGCATGCAGGATACCCTCAGAAGCCAGAAGAGGGCACTGATTGGATCCCCTAGAACTGGAGTGAACTCTCCTGGGGGAGCTGGGACTTGAACACCAGTTCTCTGGAAGAGCAACCAACGCTCTTAGTCACTGAGCCATTTCTTTTCTGGCATTTATTTATTTATATTAATAAAAGCAGCTCCAGAGGTGTCTCTGATGGAATAACAATCGGATAAACCAAAACCAAGAATCTCTAGGGGTGTATAAGGGGGGTGGGAAGTACCTTTTACAATGAAAGCGGTTGGGTTAAGATTCCTAGAAAATGTGGGTTTAAAGCTGGGAAAAGAGCAAAGCCTTAATAAATACTCATTGTGTTAGAATTATTTTTTAAATTTATTATTGTTGTTGTGTATATGTTGTGTGAATGCAGGTGTGTGTGTGTGTGTGTGTGTGTGTATACCATGGCACACATACGGAGGTTAGAGGAAAATTTTCCCAAACTGTTTCTCGCCTTCTGCCACAGGATGCAGAGATTGAATTTGTTGCTTAGCGAGTGTTTTTACCTGCTGAGAAGCATTGTCATCACTGTGTTGGGAAATCTGACTCTCAGCTCGCTGAAGACTTCAACCAGACTCTGGAGTGAGGGGGTCCCCTCCTTTTCACGTACATAACTTTCCCTATCTTTCAATTCTTCCACAGCCAATGTCTCAAACCTGAGCAAGTGTGTGTGTGTGTGTGTGTGTGTGTGTGTGTGTGTGTGTGTGTGTGATAGTGAACCGCAGGTCAAAGCCAGGCACTTTCAAGCGCTTTGCACCTATGCCAGTGGCCAGATGTGGTCGGGTTCTGCGAGGAGTTCCAGCCTTCCTATCTGCCAGCTTTCTCTTTACATTTGCTGATGTTGCAGCCTCTGTGAGGATCCTCAAATGCACGTCTCTGTCCTGTTCCATATCACACTCACGTCCCCGTCGGCTGACATCTTCTGTCCCAAGGTATCTTGCCTCCCATAAAATAATAATAATAATGTATTATGTATTAATGTATTGCGTATAATTAATTTTAATTACTACAATAACATAATAATGTTACAATTGATAATTACTCATTATAATTCATAACAATATTCTTCTTATTATAGTAACAAATTCTTATCTGAGGCAAGATAGAAAGCCTGGAAACTGTGGGGGCTTGGAAAGGAGAGATTGCAGCCTTCTGCCAAGGGATAGTCATGGAGACCAGCACAGTCAGCAACATTTGCTATGACCATAGCTAACAATGTATACAAACTGTTTTTCCTTTAAATTATTTTTTATTTATTCTTTGAAAATTTCATATATATATATATGCAATCTATTTTTACAATGTTAACCATTCCTTTCTGGTATTTGTTTTTACGCCATGATGTTTTCAAAGCGGAGTGTTAAAGCAGCAATACAGCAGATGAAGGTATGGAAATATCTGACCTTGGATAAGGCTTTTTTCCTCTCTGGAATGCGCCTTGGGAATCTCAGTGTCAACTTTGCTTCAGGAAAAGCTCCTTCCTGCAGCCCCAAGATCTGGCTTTACTTCACTGGTGTGAATCCAGCCAGGTAGCTCCTGAGCTGCATCTGATGGTTCGATTAAGAAGTGGCGTGAGCAAAAGATGCCATTCCACAGGGCTCATATGGAGGGGATTTTTATTAGGGGAAAGAGAATGGAGGGGGGGCATACCAGCCTCTGGGGACAGGAGCAGCAGAAAAGAGAGACAGGGAGGGGAGGGGAGACAGTGAGGCAGGCAGAGAAGCAGAGAGAGAGAGGAACGGGGGAAGGGGGGAGTGGGCAGGGTCCTTTTAAAAGGGAATGTAATGAATGTGCACAGGAGATGCTCTTAGTGGTTTCAGCTGAGGACGTATCCTGTCAGAACCCCAAAGGCAGGCCAGTGCAGTTGCCTGAAAACTAATAATAGGTACTGTGTAACTGTGGGAGTCACTGGTTTCTGTTCACCAGAGTCTGCAAGGACAAGGACATCTTCACTTGTCTACCCAACCCCCCCATCCATTTCACTTTATTTATTATGATTATTTTCAAAACAAGGTTTCTCTGTGTAGCTCTGGATGTCCTGCAATTCCTCTACATGTAGACCAGGCTAGCATCAAACTGAGGGATCTGCCTGCCTCTGCCTTCAAAGTGCTGGAACTAAAGGCGTGTGCCACTATGCCCAGCTCCCATACCATTTTATTAAGGTAGGTGTAATGATGTATGCCTATAATCCCAGCTCTTGGAAGACTGAGACAGAAGGATCATTTTGAGTTTGAGGTCACCCAGGGCTATTGAGGGAGACCTTATCTTAAGCAAATAAATAATATAATACATCTTATTGGGGTATATTTACACACCATAGAATTCACCTGTTTCACGTGTTCAACCCAGTGATATTTTTAGACACTTTACCCAGTGCTGCAACAATCGCCATCAGTCAGTTCTGGACTATTCTAATACTAGAGATAAGACCTCTAGGCTAATTTACATTAGCTGTTGTTCTACTGTGAACCACAGGAGACCACTCATCTATAAATGCCTTTCCTGAACATTTAATATAAACAGAACCACAAATACATGGTCACATACTTAGCATATGTTGAGGTCTGTCTCAGTGGTTTAGTGTGCCATCATATAGACAGACTAACACAGAAATGTATTCATTCACTAGCTGATGTGCTAGGTGGTTTCTGGGTTTCATCCGTTATGAATAGTGCTGCTGCGGATGTTTTTCTGTGCAAGTGGCTCAGCCTCAGTTACTCTTCCGTTGCTGTGATGAAACACCATGACCAGAGCAACTTAAAAAGACATCTAATTGGAGGCTTGCCTATGGTTTCAAAGGATTAATCCATGGCCATCATGGCGGGCACATAGCCCCGGGTAGGCAAACACAGCCCTAGAGCGGTAGTAGCTGAGCACCTACGCCTGATCTGCAAGGTGTAAACAGAGAGAAGGTAAGACTGGGGCTGGTGTGAGCTTGTGACCCCCCCCTCCCAGTGACACACCTCCTCCAGCAAGACCACATCTCCTCTTCCTTCCTAAGCACTCCAACACGTGGGAACCACACGCTCAAATGCATGAGCCATAGAAACAGAAAAATCTTAGGAGAGAGGGAAGGAAAACACAAATGCAAGTGTTGACCTCATGAGCCTTTCACATCTCTCTTATTGATTTGACCCCAGGATGAAATACAGCACCCACAATAACGTAACAAGCTTGGGATTGTTTCCCAATATGCCATTGACCCGGTTAAAGCATCCTCTTGCTGTGGTCATGGCAGTCTTCCTGGAATTCTTTTCTTTCAGGTTTGGTGTTACCTTCTTTTGTGTGCGTGTGGTGGGGTGTTCGAGACAGGGTCTCTCTGTATTGTTTTGGAGGCTGTCCTGGAACTCGATCTGTAGACCAAGCTGACCTCGGACTCACAGATATCCACCTGCCTCTGCCTCCCCAGTGCTGGGATTAAAGGCGTGCGCCACCAACGCCCAGCCTGGTGTTATCTTCTAACCAGCTGACTTGGCCTACCACACTGATCCATGGTTACCTGCCCAAGAAATGGAAAAGATGTAGCTAAGAGTGGATCTTATGGTGCTTTGTTTTTATTTTATCCCAGAAGTGCCCACAGAGGCCAGTTAAAAATGGCTGTGAAACACTGTTTCTGTTCTGGGACTTGAACCTTCGTCCTCTGGAAGAACACCCAGTACTCTTCACCACTGAGCCATCTCTCCCGTCCCTTGAGAATGACCAACCTACTTTCTAATCTAAACCTACTTTTTGATCCTGCTAGCTACAGGCGAGTGCACTGTTTGTTGGCATCTTTGACAGCACTTGCTAATATTGGTCTTATTCATCACAGCCGTTCCAGCAAGTGGAAATGCCAGCTCATGGATCACCGTCCTCGGTGCTAAGGATGGACTTCTGGGACTAAGCAGTCACAGCGCAGAGTCACATCCCCAGGGAAGTGCACAGATTATCTTCACACAAACCCACTAGGGAGGCTGTACTAGCTCCTCAAGCCACAGATAACGCTCTCTGAAACCCCAGCTTGGCTCCCGAGTCCCGGGAAGTTTCCTTTGCCATTCTGGAGAAGTGATGTGCGGAGACCTCTCACATACCCCAGAGAGGCAGGCACAGGGATCCTTCGTGACAGCTTCATTGGTCAGCTGCGGGGCAGCAGGCCAGGGTGGTGGGCCTTTCTCTTGTGTGGATTCTTACGAGTTCGCTGGTCCCCGCGGTTTTCTTGGCCGGAAGGATCCTGCTGCCCAGTGAAAAGCTCAGCAAAACGACGCTGCTCCAAAAAGCAACCAAACACCTCTGTGCTTGTTTTTGTTTTATTTGCCTTGCCTTCTGTTTGTCTTAATTTGATTTTTTTTAATCCTTTTTACTTCTTCCTTCTTTGTAGTAGTTTGAAGGATCTGTCCCCCATAGTCTTGAGCGTTGAATACTTGGTCCCGCAGCAGGCGGCACTGTTTGGGAAATTTAGGAAGTCTGCCTTACTCTAGGAAGCATGTCACTGGAGATAGGCTTTGGGGTTCAAATGTCACATGCTACTCCCAGTTCTCCCTCCCTTAACTTAAATGTGACAAGTACAGCACTGTCATGCTGCTTCTCTCTATACTCCGAACGCTAGATCAGTAAGTAAATGAATGCGCATACTTTCTGTATTTATTATCTTTCAAGACACGCTGTTATGGTAAAGCACCACGACCAAAGTGACTTCTGGAAGGAAAGACTTTATTTTCTCTCACAGTTACAGAGAAAGAGTCCATATGAGGGAGACGCGGCACCGGAAGGCGGCCAGAGCAAGAAGCTGAGGGACCTCTCGTCACACACAGAAAGCACAGGACGTGAGCAGGAAGTGCGGCAAAATTATAAACACTCAAACCCCGCCTCCAGTGACACGCCTGCTATACACTCAAACCCAGCCCCCAGTAACGTAAATGATATACACTCAAACCCCGCCCCCAGTGACGCTCATGCTAGAAACACTCAAACCCCGCCCCCTGTGACGCGCCTGTATTAAACACTCAAACCCCGCCCCCAGTGACGAGCCTGCTATACACACTCAAACCCCGCCCCCAGTGACGCCCCTGCTAGAAACAGTCAAACCCCGCCCCCAGTGACGTTCATGCTAGAAACACTCAAACCCCGCCCCCAGTGACGTGCCTGTATTAAACACTCAAACCCCGCCCCCAGTGACGTGCCTGCCATAAACACTCAAACCCCGCCCCCAGTGACGCCCCTGCCATAAACACTCAAACCCCGCCCCCAGTGACGCCCCTGCCATAAACACTCAAACCCCGCCCCCAGTGACGTACATGCTAGAAACACTCAAACCCCACCCCAGTGACGTGCCTGCTAGAAACACTCAAACCCCGCCCCCAGTGACGCGCCTGCCATAAACACTCAAACCCCGCCCCCAGTGACGCCCCTGCCATAAACACTCAAACCCCGCCCCCAGTGACGCCCCTGCTAGAAACACTCAAACCCCGCCTCCAGTGACGTGCCTGCTAGAAACACTCAAACCCCGCCCCAGTGACGCACCTGCCACAAACACTCAAACCCCGCCCCCAGTGACGCCCCTGCCATAAACACTCAAACCCCGCCCCCAGTGACGCCCCTGCCATAAACACTCAAACCCCGCCCCCAGTGACGCCCCTGCCATAAACACTCAAACCCCGCCCCCAGTGACGTACATGCTAGAAACACTCAAACCCCGCCCCAGTGACGCGCCTGCCATAAACACTGAAACCCCGCCCCAGTGACGCCCCTGCCATAAACACTCAAACCCCGCCCCCAGTGACGAGCCTGCTATAAACACTCAAACCCCGCCTCCAGTGACGTGCCTGCTAGAAACACTCAAACCCCGCCCCAGTGACGCCCCTGCCATATACACTCAAACCCCGCCCCCAGTGACGCCCCTGCCATAAACACTCAAACCCCGCCCCAGTGACGCCCCTGCCATAAACACTCAAACCCCGCCCCCAGTGACGCGCCTGCCATAAACACTCAAACCCCGCCCCCAGTGACGCGCCTGCTATAAACACTGAAACCCCGCCCCAGTGACGCGCCTGCCATAAACACTCAAACCCGGCCCCCAGTGACGCCCCTGCCATAAACACTCAAACCCCGCCCCAGTGACGCCCCTGCCATATACACTCAAACCCCGCCCCCAGTGACGCGCCTGCTATAAACACTGAAACCCCGCCCCAGTGACGCGCCTGCCATAAACACTCAAACCCGGCCCCCAGTGACGCCCCTGCCATAAACACTCAAACCCCGCCCCAGTGACGCCCCTGCCATAAACACTCAAACCCCGCCCCCAGTGATGCGCCTGCCATAAACACTCAAACCCCGCCCCCAGTGACGCGCCTGCCATAAACACTCAAACCCCGCCCCCAGTGATGCGCCTGCCATAAACACTCAAACCCCGCCCCCAGTGACGTGCCTGTATTAAACACTCAAACCCCGCCCCCAGTGACGCCCCTGCCATAAACACTCAAACCCCGCCCCCAGTGACGCCCCTGCCATAAACACTCAAACCCCGCCCCCAGTGACGCCCCTGCTAGAAACACTCAAACCCCGCCCCCAGTGACGCACCTGCCACAAACACTCAAACCCCGCCCCCAGTGACGTGCCTGTATTAAACACTCAAACCCCGCCCCCAGTGATGTGCCTGATAGAAACACTCAAACCCCGCCCCCAGTGACGCACCTGCCACAAACACTCAAACCCCGCCCCCAGTGATGTGCCTGATAGAAACACTCAAACCCCGCCCCCCGTGACGTACATGATATACACTCAAACCCCGCCCCCAGCGAAGCCCCTACTAAAGGTTCCTTGACCTTGATTGTCTCAAATCCCTAGCAACCATAGGCTGAGTACTGAAACGTGAGTCTGTGGGACATTTCTTGTCCTGAAAGAATAACAATGGGGCCCTGACACGAGTTTGAGAATGCTTAGACTTCCTCAAGGTTTCGTGAACGACAGCAGTGACTGTGAGCTATGCAGCTGCATATGTGTGCTTACAAGTGTGTATGTGTATGTATGTACACATATACACACGTGCCCTTGCATTCCTGCTGAGTGCTTCTTAGTACATCTGATTGGTTTTCCTTTCATAGCACATTTGGTTATTGGGTGGACACAGTTAGGGGCTGAGATTTGCTTAGCGCTCTAGCACCACATAATTAACAAATTAGTTAATCAATTAATAGGATGGGTCAGAAAGATGGCTCAGTGGGGAGGCCAAGCACGACACCACCCCGACTTCAAAACCCGAGCTCTAGACAGGAAAGTGAGAGAACCCTCCACATGTGCGCTCCCCACGCGGTAAGTAAATACGTAAATGTGATTTAAAAAAAAAAAGACTGAAGTTCAAAACCAATAGAAAAAACGCATAAGGTAAATGCAACAGAGAATTGTAAATAAGCATTATGGTTCTGCAAAGCCAACCAGTCCTACTGTTGATAAAACAGCAGTGGAGTGGCAGGCTGGATCATCAGGGCTAAGGTACTTCGTAAGTCTAAGTTCGCATACTGGGGATTCTGAAGATTTAGCCTGCCTCCATCTTAGGCTTAAAGGTCATCTTGTAGTGAAGCAGGCTAGGTTCATTTCTTATCATTAGACCTCTGTTTCCTAAGAATTGGGCTGTGCCCACCGTAGCCCAACAGCAGGCGGTTCTGTACGCCTGTCCCAGGAACCGCAGTCATATCTTTGAGTTTATAACGATCTTGTAACCCTGCCTTTGTTTCAGAAGGTTATATGGCCACCTAGGACTGCCTTGCAACCACGTCTTTCTTTCGGGAGGGACTGACTTGCTGTGCTTGTGTTCTGCTCCTGCGACCCCACCTATTTTGTCCCCCCCAAGCCTCCCACTTGGAAACTTCCTTCTCGTGAGCTGTGAAAGCTTTGTCTTTCTCACATTCAATGATGACCTCTGGAACTTTGCCTTAGAGGGAGGCAATCTGAGTATAAAATAGAGAAGCTTGTTTTAATTAATCGCTTGCTTTAATTAACTTGGCCGTGATGATTTGAGCTGACACTCTTTCTCCGCACGTCTCTGGGACTAACAGTCCCTATCCATTTGTGAGAGGACAGCACCTGGCATCCAAGGAGACCTAACGGCCACCCACCTGAAATTTCAGACACTCTTCTACTTGGCTTTGTTTCTCAGGAGTCTGATAGGTTCCCTGACATTTCCTTATGTTCAGAGTGAGCGTCTTTAAAACACCTGTACTAAAATAAGAACCGGAGCCAGGCAAGACGGCATAAGCTTGTGATCTAAGCACGCAGAAGGCAGAGGCAGAAGGGTCGGGTGTTCCAGGTCATCCTCGGCTACATAAAAACTTGAAGGCCAGCCTGGGCTACGTAAAACCCCCACTCTTGGAAACAAAAACAAGAGGCAAAATGCTGCCTAGAGAAAACGGCCAGAGACCAGAGCTGGGAAAGGACGAGATTGGCGAGTGAAACAGAGCAGACAGGAACCCAGCCAAATGGAGGAGGGGCTTCTTTGGTGTGAGGCCCCAGAGGGGAGGCTCAGGGGAAAAGCTGCTCCTGCCAAGCCTGAAACCTCTGAGTCCTGGGAACCTCAGGCTGTCCTCTGATGTTCACACCTTCGTACTTGTGCACACACACACACACACCACACACACACACCAAATTAAAACAAGCAAACAAATATAACAATATCCAATCGTCAATCCGATTGCAGTTGAATGACTGTCGTGCTTTGCTGGGGTTGGGAGGCAGAATGCACTAACTATGGTGTTGTTTATCCCAGTGGAGCGATGAGGGTTCACAGTCTGATTGGAAATGGCCCTGGGCAGCCCTTGGGGAGTAAGGAGCCTTCCGAGGAGCCAAAGCAGGTCAAGCTCCAGGGCAAGGCAGCTGGCCACATTCACCCTTTGATTCAAGCGGGAGCTTGGAACTGCAGCATCCAGAATGAAACTGGGAAAGGGAAGCCCAACGCCCCTGGCTCACACGCAAAATGGTGTCCCTCCCCCAACACACAGCTGGAGAGGAGAGCCAGAGAACGGAGCTGGGAAAAAGAGACTGGCGGTGAGGTAAACCAGGCAAGAGCCTGGCAAACTGACAAGTAGGAAGGAAAGTGAAAGCCAAACGGAGGAGGGGTTTCTTTGGCTGGTGCAGGAGAAGGAAGGCAAATGGGTCTGGAAAAGTGTCAAATCTAATTTAGGCCCAACCTAAAAATGAGGTAGGGATATTATAGAAAAGATTTCCATTTTTATTGAAATACAAATCAGCGGTGGCAGAAAAACCAGGCATACAGCCAGTGTTAGTTCAAAAGACATTCCTTAGAAACAAAATATTATTACAAGAAGCATGCACAATTTACCAGAAAAGGGCCACACAGATCTCAAGCAAATCAAAGTTACACAGAAGGCACAGCGTGGAGCAGGGCTGGGCCAGGGACAGGGTGGCATGGTCCCTTTCCCTCCCTCTGGCTATGCTGGAGTGGAGGTGACATTTCCTTACCTACCCTCTGTGTGCTGAAGCGGTCCTTTTGTTCCCAAAGATAATCAATCTACATAATAGGAAACAGCCTTAAAAAAAGAAAAGAAGAATAATATCATAAACTCCTGTTGTCAAAGAATCACGGCTCCTACCTGAAAGTGGATAGGAGATAATTTATTCTGGATCCAAATATGAGTGACCATGGCCCAGGAACACAGATTTAGGTTATCCAAAATTCTATTTTCCAACATGGAAGAGTTTCAGGAAGTTTTTATAGTAACAGAACAAAGAAAGCCATCAATCATTTCATGGGTGGTCCGATGGCTCAGCAAACTAAAGTACTTGCCACCAAGCCCGACAACCAAGTTTGATCTCTGTGGCCCACAGGGAAAAAGAGAAACAACTCCCCAAGCTGTTCTCGGAGCTCCAGGTGCACAAAGGCACCCTGTGCTCATGTGCATACAATAAATGAATATGCTAATTAACAAATGGTCTTTCCCCTACAAGACACTTTTCAAATCCATTGTTAGAGACATCCAAGAAGCAGGCTACAGCAAAGCGAGGACACCTTTGCTACAGATGTTTTAGCTTGTGGTTGGTGGAAGCTACTGGTCGGTGGAAACCGGTGCCGTTTGTACGTTCCAAGTGATTTACTCAGCTGGCACAAAGCTGTCAGTCAGTGACAGAGGAGGGAAGTGAATGGCTATTAAGCAGGCTGAAGGTGGTCCAGGTTATTTGCCTCTGGACTTGTGACGTCCAGGCTCTCCACGGTCACTCCAGCTCCAACAGTCAGCCTTGCAGAGGGTTCAGTTGGAATGGCAGCTTCTTTTTTTTTTTTTGGTTTTACGAGACAGGGTTTCTCTGTATTGTTTTGGAGGCTGTCAGTCCAGCCTGGCCTCGAACTCACAGAGATCCGCCTGCCTCTGCCTCCCGAGTGTTGGGATTAAAGGCGTACGCCACCACTGCCCGGCTGGAAGGGCAGCTTCTTTCTGGAGAGTTTTGTTCACACTTCCTTTGCTTCCCCCAAAATTAAGGCTATACGATGTATTCTTGGCTGCACTGACTTAAGTTATCAAGGAAACACCTAATTTGCTGGCGTAAAATAGCTCCAAAAATGTGTTGATTAAAAGTAGCATGATGCATCTAACACACCAACTGGCATGTCTAATAAAAGCAGAAAAAACTGTATCCATTTTATCAGTATAAATCCTGGATAAACGCAGACGAAACCAGAACACTGCTATGTCCGTGTGTGTCCAGGTGCACACACGTGTGCATGTGGAAGCCGGAGGACAACCTCGAAATATCATCCGTCAGGTGTTGTCCGCTTCATTGTTTGAGAGTCTTCCACGAGTGTGTAAGTCACCAAGTAGGCTTGCCAGTATCCACTGAGCCCAGGGATCCTCCTTCACCCCCACCCCCATCCCACCACCCCCAGCACTGAAAGGAAACCACCACCATGCCTGGTTATTTACTGTTGGTGTTCCGAGGAATCAAACTTCCTCCTGCATGCAAGGCAAGCACTTCATTGACTGAGCTGCTTCCCAGCTACATTTAAATTGCTGGGGGAAAAAAAAGCAATGTAGTGGCATCTTGTTCCTGCAGTGGACTCTGGGTGGGGGCTACACCTTAGGGTGTGACTTCAGTGTGTTTGCATATGACCCTTTATAAGGAAGAGGAGGGGCTGGCTCGAACTCTCTTGGGTTGTGGTCAGAGCATCCTGAGGGGCTGAGCCCGCATCTCCAGGGGCAGAAGACCACGGTGGTTATTTACCATTGTTGTGTGAGTGTTCCGCAAATAAATACCTGTTCATCCTCTACCTGGGTATGTGTGGACTCCTTTCATGCACATTCAAAACAAGCCAGGCCAAGTAAGTGTTACTAATTTGTACAAAACTAATAGTAAGGTGAAACCTGGGCATTTCAAAGTGAGGTTGGTGCAAGGAACACTGTGTGTTAGCTGACAATGGTCCCCTCCTCTCGCCCACATTCTCCCCACTCCCCAAACTTTGGGTCTCTGCAAGAAGTCAGAAATATCTGTAGCCACAGAATCATCCCAGAGAGACCGTGATGCAGCAAAGCTCATCTCACGTAGCGGACTCGATGGGAGCAAACCTTGCTGATGTTCGTATGCTGTAAACGGTGGAGCACAACTGTGGGATGCATAGCTTGACTAGCTCCTGTCTTGTTCAAGCGGACCTCTCATCTTAGCACAGGACCGTGAAGGGTGTTGTTGGATGGGGCTGGAGGACAGAAACTGGACCAGAAGTCACTAGCTTCATACCTTCCACGTTCCTCCAGGGTGTCTCTTTATTGTGAGCTTTAGTTTTACATTTCACTGGGGGGGGGGGTCACTGAAGCTAGGCTATTGCACACTCGAAGCAAGTTCTCTACCACTAAACTATCTCCATAGCCTCTAACAGCTAGCACTGTACAACATCACATACACACACACACACACACACACACACACACACCCTATAACCTGAGAAAAAGTTAAATACCTGATACTAACAGTTTTACCTCTCTAGAGCTCATTTCTGTGAACCACCATCTAAAAGCCTTTTGTGGTCATCTGTTAGGTTAGTGCACATATGTCATGATGCATTTTTCTCAGTCATCCCTCCTTTTGTACTGTCCTGTCCCCCTGCAAGCTGTAACTCCAAACTACACAATGAGTTGTGTTCCAGTCTAGTTAGGGACACAAGACTCTATTGCAAAACTTACCATTTGAAAAAAATAGTGCTTTTTACTTCATTTAGGCAGACAAAATAATCAGTGCAGTTGTTGGCTATAGGTCTTTAGTTTATTGGACTTGATCGGCCATCTCATTAGCATGGGAAATGCAGCTTTTAACACCTCTACCTAGAGCAGGGCCCTGACCAACTTTACCTCTTATCTTTCTGTTCCTTTCTTCAGTTTAGCCTTCTATTTATTTATTTAGGTGTTTTGAGACAGGTTTCCTCTGTGTAACAGCCATAGCTGTCCTAGAACTCGCTCTGTAGACCAGGCTGGCCTTGAATTCAGAGATCTACCTGCCTTTGCCTCCTGAGTGCTGGGATTATAGGTGTGCGCCACCACTGCTCAGCTGTGCCACTAATGCTTGGCGTCATTTTTTTTAAATAATAAAACATTCCCAAATGTGCCTTAAGCGGCACCTTCTGGGATATCTTTACCACTGTCTTTCTTAACTCAAGTCTCAGGAATACATTAACACACCCTCTTCCCCCACTCCCAATTTAGTTCTCCTTTGAATTCTTGAAGCAGATATGATCATTAGCCCTTAAAGTATACTGCTTTCCATATAGCATTGTGTTCCTTCTTTTCCTCTCAAAACTTAGGGTGTCCTCACAGTTTAATGGAAAAAGATGATTCTGATACATAAAATAAATGTAAAGATTAGTACAAAGTCATTAACAGACAAAGGGCATGACTATCTTAAGCTTGCCGTTTTTTATATACATTTTCTCTCACCTTCTTCCTCTTTTTTTATTTATTTTTATTTTTTTATGTATACAGTGCTCTGTCTGCACGCATCCCTGCAAGTCAGAAGAGGGAACCATATCTTGTTATGGATGGCTGTGAGCCACCATGTGGTTGTTGGGAATTGAACTCAGGACCTCTGGAAGAGCAGCCAGTGCTCTTAACCTCTGAGCCATCTCTCCAGCCCCACCTTCTTCCTCTTATACCAACTTATGTTATGATTGCTTAGGACAGTGTTCCACACACCGTACATAAGTATTTGTTGATAACAAAGCTGACCATGGCAGAATCAATAAAAAATACAATTTGAGTGTATGTTTGTTTTTTTTTTTTGGTTTTTACGAGACAGGGTTTCTCTGTATTGTTTTGGAGGCTATCGGTCCAGCCCAGCCTCGAACTCACAGAGATCCGCCTGCCTCTGCCTCCCGAGTGTTGGGATTAAAGGCGTGCGCCACCACCGCCCGGCTTGAGTGTATGTCTTGATACTGTCCATGAAACCAAGAAAAATCAGTCCATTTGCAGGCACCCTACAGGCCTCTCTACAAGAGTGGCCTCATCACTAGTTTTTCCAAGAAATTCTTTTGATTAGGGGATCCTTCCAGACCTGGTTCCTTGATTTTGAGCCATTTCTCTTGTCTCCTAAGATTTTAGTTTTGGAAGAGAGAGTAGTGCAATTTCCTTAACAAGTCAGCAAAGTGAAAGATGAGAGAGAGAGAGAGAGAGAGAGACTGATTGATTCATTGATTACAGGCTATGGTTCGCCTTATCTAACATTGGCTGACTATGAACAGCAAGTCCAAGAATCCAGTAATTGCTCAGTCCATGAAGCTGGCTATCTCATCTTGCTTTCAGTATATGCTGGAAGCCTGAAGAAGTCGACTATTTTGTCAGCGAAGGAGTGGACTTCCAGCAAGGACAGGGCAAGCAGGCAAAGAGCAAACGCTTCCTTCCTTCTTCCATGTCCTCATATGGGCTTCCAGCGGGTGTGGTCCAGATTAGATCTGCACTAAAGGCGTGTCTTCCCAACTCAAGATCTTATTAAGGGTGTGACTGTCTACCTCAAAGACCCAGATTAGAAGTAGGTCTTTCCATCTCAAATGAAGGGAAAATCCCTCACGAGTGTGCCCTCTATTTTTGAGCTTTAACTAATTCCAGATGGAGTCAAGTTGACACCAAGAATAGCCACCCCACAGGGCTGAAGGAGACACCGAGTATGAACCACCTCACAGGCTTGACTGGGATTGGAAAGCACCTGGCCAGAGGTGCAAAACAATGGCAAAAGGGATTTGCTGCTGCGTTGTCAGGACGGAGTGGAAAAAATGACTGAAAAGCTAGAGGCTAAAAAGGATGCGAGGAGAAAGTGGCAGCTAAGGAACAGAAGCGAGGGCCGTGGGATGCGGATACTCAGGAAAGCGGCCGGGGCAAAGCAGAGCTCAAGGAAGAGGCTGCCCCGCCCCGCCCCGCCCCGCCCCGCCCCGCCCCGCCCCATTCTTCACTTTCATCCTTTGCCACAACCTCTTCTCCATCCTTAGCTGCTTCCAAAAACCAGAGACTCATACAAGACGTGGTCCCAGAGCTCCTCAAGTCAATCCTGGCCAATGCCTCATCTTCACACCAAATTACACACAAAAAGAAAGCGTGTGATCTCTTTATTCTCCAAACATTGTGGTACTAAATAGAGAGGTATTGGGTTGGTCTTTGGTCTCTAGTGCGTTAGGGGAGCCAGGCTGAGCCCAGAGGAACATGGGAGACCTAGCAGGTACTGTTTGAAGGCGGAAGTCCCAACCGTGGTGGGGCGGCGAGCTCCGGCTCCTCCAAAGGAGTCAAAGTTCAACGGTTCTGTGAAGGCAGCTGAGCAACAGAGACGGTCATCAGAACAGCGGGAGACATTGGGGGGTGAAGGGCAGGGATCCTCCTCTCCCTTTCTGCTACAATCTGACAGCAGAGACTAGTGACCCCACCAGGGCAGCACCGAGCACCCGAGGCCGGTCAGCTGGCAGCATGCTCCCGGGATGGAATGCTCTCCATAAGAATGGAGACAAAATGTTCCAGCTTCTGTGCCGCTGCTTTTCCAGCTTCTAAGACTTCCTGGTGATTGGCCTTCTCCAGGTTTGCGTAATCCATGACAACCTTGTTAGTAATGAGTGAGAAACCGAAGACACGGAGCCCACAATGTCGTGCAACGATAACTTCCGGGACCGTGCTCATGCCTGATGGGGAGAAAGAAAAGGTGACCCTCATGCGGTTTTCCTCACCGTCCACTCTCACAAACTCATTAAATCTCAGAAAGCATCCAAAGCGACTAAATCAGCGTTGAGCACTTACTGTCCCACGCCTCTTCAAGTAGTCTTACTAGTTTTTGATACACTTCACCAATACAGTCTGTTTCTGTCATTTGCGGCAATTAATGATATGAGGCAACTTCCAGCCACAGGTACAGAAGGCAGCTGTACTGATATTCTGTAACAGTGTTGAAGCTCAAGCCTGTCTTCACCACTTTCCTAGTAATCCAGTTCATCCTTACCCAGATCCACAACCTCTTCCTCCCCTTTGCTGTTTTACCAGATCTTTCCCTCAAACCCCCCTTCTCACCAACAGCATCTGCTCCCAGCATTCTTAGCAGGCGGCTCTCTGCCACGGTCTCAAAGTTGGGTCCTGCCAACATCACATAGGTGCCTTCCTGTAATTCCCGTTGCTCCCCCATTTGTTTCCAGGCAGTCAAAGCCTTCTGTCTCATATTCCGGTCATAAGCATCAGACATCGCAGGGAAACGGACTCCAAACCTAGAGCACAGACTGCATTACCTCAGATACACGGCACTAAGTGAACTTTTCTTTCCCAACTCTTGGCCAAGCCCAGACCCTCCACATATAGAGCCAAGGATAGAGATGTGTACCTTTCATCATTGGGGCCTCGGAGAGGGTTTTGACCAGAGAAACCAGGCAGGTTGATGTGATCACGGATCAGCATGATATCTCCAACTTCAAAATTGGGGTTGAGTCCTCCAGCTGCATTGGTGACTACCAAAGTGTCTACACCCAGAAGATGGAAGACCCTCACCGGGAATGTCACCTTAGGTGCAAAAAGATCAGAAAAAGATTTTTCAAAACCTCACCAACCTACCCACAAAGGTATGCGTAATACACACATTGAAACAAGAGGAAACAAGACGTCAAAAATTCACCCAGCTGAAATAGACAATAAGGTAGAATAGCTCTCCGCACCTTCCTCCAAGTCCAACCAAACTTGTGTCCCTGACTTACCTTTGACAGTGAGTACCCTTCATACGTGTGGAACCTGCCCTGCATCATGACACAGGCTTTGCCATTCAGGAACCCAAACACCAGCCGGCCGGCGTGACCTTGCACTGCACACAGAGAAGGAAAAGCAAAGTGACCATTCTTTCCTGTAACACACACCCTGGCAGTCACTGTGTATAACATATGAGGATATAATTAGCAGAAGATAACGGAAGTCTGGTGTAACTTGAGGTTAGAGATGTGGGATAAGAATATTTGATGTGAACATATAACAACAACAAAAAACCAGTTTTCCCTCCCTCCTCTCCTCCCAGCCCCCCCTCCCTCTGTTCCCACATTCCAATCCACTCCTCCTCCGTTTCTGTTTAGGAAAGGGCATGTCTCCCGTGAGTTCCAACAAAACATGACATATCAAAGAGAGATTCATATTGTAAGGGAGCAAAAGTGAGTACAAATGAACGTTGGATAGTGGACTCAGTAATTATAGGCCTCTTCCACGATTTTTCCACATTCTTACCACGTGTCTGACAGCTAACTCTAACTAACTGTATGCCTCCTTATTCCTGCTAGGGAGCTCCTGGTATATGCTGGCATCCTAAAGATGAGTGAGGAAGAACCAGTTTGAGACCATACAACTCTTTCCTTTTGGCCTACTGGGAAAGAACACTCATCCTGGGTATATGGGGCCTGGGAGCACAAAGATTAAGCATCACTACCATCCCCATTACCTGTCAGTGTCTATATTCCTCTAAGGAATGAATCTGTCAAGAAGAGGGACTAGAAACAACAAGAATCATAAAAAAAAACTAGTAATAGAACAAAGTTGATATAGCTGAGAGAGAGACACATACACAGAGGGAGGAGACAGAGAGAGAGACACACACAGAGACAGAGACAGAGAAAGACACAGACAGACAGACAGACAGACACACACACACACACAGAGTTTCAATTCTTTCCTTTCAGTACATGGGTCTTGGGGACTGAACGTCATGCTTGGGGACAGGAACTTTCCTGCAGAGCCATCACACAACATACTAGAGAATTTCACTACCCAAACACACACTATGGAATTTCAATCAGGGTAATTTCTTCCTAAAGTCATTCTGATTCCCCAGTGTCTGCTTCCCTCTCTTGCATTTGTCTTTGGTCAAATGATAGGACAAAAGTAGGAACATCTGTCTGACTATGATTGTGATTGCACATTTGTCCATCATGGCGGTCTGAATAAGAGTGGCTCCCATAGGTTCATACGCCTGGATACTTAGTCGCCAGCGAGCCATAGATTCATACGCTTGGATACTTAGTCGCCAGCGAGTGATTTTCTTGGCCTTCAGATGTAGTTCATGGCTACTGCTCTAGAGTCATGCATGCTGCATGCTCCACATGATAATGAACTGAATCTCAGAAACTGAAAAGAAGCCCCAAATTAAATGCTTTTAGAGTTGTGTTGGTCACGGTGTGTCCTCACAGCAACAGAACAGTAACTAAGATACCCTCAACATCTCATTTCCAGCCAGTACCTGTGCTTTGGGGAAAGTTGGGTATTTCACTGTATTCAAAGATCTGGGCCTGAGTTAATTTATTAGTCAGACCTCCCAACCCAGAACCACAGATCACTGCCACTTGAGGTCGATGCAGGGTGTGAGACAGAAGCCACTCAGCGGTGCTCTGGTAATCTTCGTACGTGAATCTAGGGAAAAGAACAAAGTAAATTCACCTTCCGTCCCAAGCGCAGAGGAAAATAACTGTTAGCACAAAAAACCTGGTGGATATTCTAAGGCATCAGAGGACAGAGATGGCAGGCCAGAGGGAGTCCACTGTTTATTCAACCACTTCCCCATCTCTTTTGAATCAGGCCCACTAAAAGTCTAAGGTGAAACATCCTTCCTTCAGTCCAGAGCATGACAAAAATTAATGAAGTCTGTTTCCATTAACAGCCTCACCTTCTTAAGTGCTCAGCCAACAAGCTGTACCCGGGCCTTAGGAGGCCCGTGCTCTGGTATGACACACATAGGAACAGAGGTTTCAGAGTTACGATGCAGTAGTCAAATCAAGCAGAGGAATCAGTATGAATTAAGGCCTTCCTGGAGGCGAGTTACTTGCCTTTTGCTTTGCTTTGTCTGTTTGATACAGGGTTTTCCTACATTGCCTAAACTAATCTCCAACCCCCAGGCTCGAGGAATCTTCTCACCCCAGCTACTAGAGTAGCTAGGACTTTAGGCAGTTCTTTGGGTAAAAAAAAATTTTAATTTAGTTTTTCATTTAAAAATTTAATTTAGTTGGTATGTATATGTGTGCGTGGTGTGTTCAAAGCATGCTATAGATTGTGTGTGTTGGTCATGGGATAACTTGTGAATTAGTTCTCGCCTTCCACCTTGTAGATCCCGAGGATGGAACTTGACCAGGCTTTGTAGTGAGTACTCTACCTTCTTATCTTTACTATGTATTAATAAGCACTAAGAACACTAATAGTACAAGTCTATACATGAGCTTCAGTTCCTCTGGACATGTTTCTTTGACTCCTGGATATGGACCTCTGTCATTTGTAATTAACAAAGATACTCAGTGGCCGAGCCTGGTGGTCCACACCTTTCATCCCCGGATTGGGGTGGCAGAGGCAGGTGGATCTATCTCTGTGAGTTCAAGGCCTATCTGGTTTATATAATGAGTTCCAGGCCAGCCAGGGATACATAGATCTATTTAAAAAACAAAGACTATAATGAGTATGTATATCTTAAGATCAGAAACTAGGGCTGGAGAGATGGCTCAGAGGTTAAGAGCATGGACTGTTCTTCAGAGGTCCTGAGTTCAATTCCCAGCAACCACATGGTGGCTTACAACCATCCATAATGAGATCTAGTGCCCTCTTCTGGCGTGCAGGCATATATGGAGGCAGGATGTTGTATTCACAATAAATAAATAAATCTTTAAAAAAAATCAGAAACTAAACGTCAGTCTCTCAGTCTTGATTTTTCATGTTACACCCAGAAACCTCCATTTTTAACAAGTGTCTGCTGAAAATCCACACAGACAACACTGGTTTAGGATTTTATAACCAATGCTGTGAGATAATAGGCCTGGTTTTTGTTCTGCTTTGCAATCGTTAAGTTTCTTAGCCGTGAATCATAGCTCACACTGTCATTTCAGTACTTCAAGGTAGAGAGAGACAAGAGGATCTGGAGCCCAGGGCCAGCCTGGGTTACATACTGAGTTTCAGACTGGCCTAAGTTACACTAGACCCTGTCTGAAAACAGCAAACACCACCAATATTTAAACTGAAGATCAGAGAAGCAAAGCAGCTAAGCCAGTAGATCTTAACTCTACCGGGCTGAAATGGCAATCCGGCAATCCTGTCTCCACGACTCCTCAGAGACAAAAGCTCTCAGTTCCTGTCTTCTCCTCCTTTTTTTTTTTTTTTTTTTTTTTTTTTGGTTTTTCGAGACAGGGTTTTTTTTTTTTTTTTTTTTTTGGTTTTTCGAGACAGGGTTTCTCTGTGGCTTTGGAGGCTGTCCTGGAACTCACTCGGTAGTCCAGGCTGGTCTTGAACTCACAGAGATCCGCCTGCCTCTGCCTCCCGAGTGCTGGGATTAAAGGCGTGCGCCACCACCGCCTGGCTTCTCCTCCTCCTTTTATTCCTTTCCCTGACCAGCCATATCCTCCATCTCCACCTGGGATTAAGGGCGTGTGATCCCAAATGCTGGGATCAAACGGGTGAGCTTTGTTGCTCTTTTAGACTGATTCAATCTAGTGTAGCCCTGGGTGGCCTTGAACTCGCAGAGAGCCATCTGCCTTTGTTTCCTGAGTCCTGGGATTAAAGTATGACACCACTGCCTGGCTTCTATGGATAACTAGTATAGCTGCTTTGTTATTTTAATCTCCAGTGGCTTTTTTAAAAAGTCACAAACAATATATCACCACATCTGGGCCTATCCCTTCAGATTAAAAACTTGCTAAGAAGCCAGGAGTTGTGGCGAAATGCCTTTCATGCCAGTACTCAGGAGACAGAGACAGGTAGTTCCAGGACAGCCTGATTCACAAATCGAGTCGTAGGACAGCCAGAGATAGTCTATATAGTGAGTTCTAGGACAGCCAGAACTGTTACATAGAGAAACACTGTCTCAAGAAACCAAAGGGTTAAAAAAAAAAAACCAACCCAGAACCTTCAAACAGTCCCAAGTCCAATTCCATCACAATCAACTAACTGCAAAGATCAAAGATTGCTCCTGGAAGTGGAAGAACTGTGGTGTACGTGAATTGGACACAACTAAAAAAGCCTCAGCAAGAAACGTGTTTCTTCCAGCAAGAGAGTCTTAAGTCCCAGCTTCCTGGCAGACCCAGACATTAGGATAACGAGCCCACCTGATGTTAAAGCAAGACACAGTCACAGGAGTCTATTGTAGGAAACAAACAGGACCACACACAACAGGTTACCCTCGATGAAACAGCTAGGCAGGGCGGGGACGGATAGAGTCACGGGGTGACAAAATGAGGCAAGAAACTAATGAAACAGCATCCCAAAGGGGCGGGAAGAAATGGTTCATGGCAATCAGCCATGTGCAGCCACGGCTCAGCCCTGAAGAAAGAACACCTCGGACCTGCGGTCACTCCAAAGCTACTGTGAGCCCTTGCAGTTCTGCTTGTGAGTTAATCTGGGAATTCCCGACGCAAAACTCGTTGTTGTTTTTTTCCTTAAAGTGGACAGGAAGGGGTGGGTGTCTTCTGAGTAGATCAATAAATACAGATTTCCCAGCCCTAAAGAGATCCCAACTTGTTAAGGCAACCCCTAGTTTGGAGGGAAGATTGGGGCTGTCTTGGAAAGCGAGCGATTTTTCCTTCTAAAGGAGGAACTGCGGGATAGCACAACAGAATTATCTCCTGGGTTACCCGGACCCCTAGGATGCAAACTTGTGTTACGAAGTAGGCAGGGCTCGTCCCTGCTTTTCCACTAGCATCCCGACACGCCACAGAGGCACAACAGTTCCTGATGGGGGTCGCCTACACTGCGCTACCCTGCTCCTTCCTGCCCTGGGGCGCCCCTCCAGCTGGATTCCCGCGCCCGCCCAGCCGCGCAAGCGTCCCCACCGTTCCGGAGCCCTGAGTCCGCCACCCGGCTCCGTGCCAGGCCTCTCTCTGCATCCCCGGCGGAATCGCTCCTTCTCTGGGCCCGGGCTGCTGAGTTCCCAGGTCTCGGCGACAGCCCGTCGCCCTCGGCAGAACGCCCGAGTCCCCGGGCCTGACACTCACTCGTTTTTCTCCATGGTGTCGCCGACGGCCGCGCTGAGATCCTGCCCTTTCCGCTCCGCGGGCGACACCGTCTGAGTCCGGCCAACACTGCTAGTGCACTGCGCTCCGGGCCCGGCTTTATAGCCCCAGCCCCTGGCGCCAGCCAATGGCAGCGGCCTCGTCTCCATGGTGATACACCCTCATCCAGAGGTGTGGCAGGAAACCCCGGCCGCGTTCTGCTCCCAGGGACCCTCTCCCAGCCTGGGGCAGCCACACAGCCCCGCACACGCTCCTGGCTCTCCCAGCCAGGAAAGCAAGCCTGTGTGGGAAGAAGCAGGGTGGACAGCGAGCCCCGGAACCGCCCATCGGCAACTCCATTCTCCCGCTGCGTTATTGGGGAAGAATTCGAGGAGCGAAAAATATTCAAACCACTGATAGTGCGATTCTAGAATAAAACGAAGTAAGACGTTGTCCGAGTTACTTTCCGGAATAGGGAAACAGGGCCGCGTGAGTAACAGTGCTGACTCGGTGCCTACAGGATTTGGGGAGACACGCAGAGGCCCAGATCGCGGGGAGTTCTAGACTGCTTAGCTCGGACAGCATGGTGACAGGTTGAACGGGTGGGAGGAGGGAGGGAGCCATGCAAAACAATAATAGCCCAGTGTGGTGGCGCATACCTTTAATCCCAGCGCTGCTCAGGGCAGAAGCAGAGGATCTCTGTGAGTTCCGGGTGTGGTGGAAAGAAAGAAAATATATATATGGTTTTTTTTTTTTTTTTTTTTTGGTTTTTCGAGACAGGGTTTCTTTGTAGCTTTGGAGGCTGTCCTGGAACTCGCTCAGTAGACCAGGCTGGTCTCGAACTCACAGTGATCCGCCTGCCTCTGCCTCCCGAGTGCTGGGATTAAAGGCGTGCGCCACCAACGCCCGGCCTTGATTGCTCTTTTTAATTTTTAATTCGTCTATGTTATTATCATCATTAGGTTTTTTTTTTTTAAACATTAGGACCAAGTGTGGTGGTGCACGCCTTTAATTCCAGTACTCGGGAGGCAGAGACAGGTGGATCTCTGTTCGAGTTCGAGGCCAGCCTGGCCTCCAAAGCGAGTTCCAGGACTGTAACACAGAGAAACCCTGTCTCGGGGAGGAGAGCGCTTTCTCAGTATGCATTAGGTCCTGAATTCCATCTTCAATACTGCTGTGAGTGAGTGTGAGTGTGTGTGAGTGTGTGTGAGTGTGTGTGAGTGTGAGTGTGTGTGAGAGAGTGTGTGAGTGTGTGTGAGTGTGAGTGAGTGTGAGCGTGTGTGTGTGTGGGCATGTACCTAGAATGGTGGCTCTGGCCTGAGTTCCAACTACTGGGGAGACGGAGGCAAAAAAGGTCAGGTGAGTCCAGAAGTTTGAGGCTAGCTTAAGCAACATAAGGACAGTCAATCTCAAACAAATAATATACATTTAAAATACATAAATAAAATATATAAATATTTAAACCTACCTAATGGTACCTTCAGGGGTCTCCATCACAGCACAGAGTTTGAGAATCATGGTCCCAGTCACTTTGATATGATCTCATTCCTGAGTTTATACAATTATAAATGAGTAGGCTCTGTAATCAAACTACCTCTGTATGAGTTCTTTCTCTACCCTTTGTCTACCAACTGTGCCATCCATCCCCAATAAAATTTCTGTGCCTCAATTTTCTCATCTGGAAAATTATTAGAGTGATTTACTTGCTACTCTTGCAAGGATCATATAAAATATGGTTAAGTGTTTTAATAAGTACCTGGCACTATAATTATGACTATAATTATAATAAACACACAGTAAGCTTCCCATTGTCTCTTTTTAAACTTTTAATATCCCCCTAACTTTAAATCGAATCAAAGAAAAATTAGTGGTTCATTTAGTCTGTCAGCACCGTCTAGAATCCCACAATACTCAGAATAGCCACATGTTGTTATTAGCATTTAATAAAACTATGATCATATAGTCATAAGTGGTGGTGCACACTTTTAATCTCAGTACTTAAGAGGCAGAGGCAGAGGCAGAGCCGGGCGTTGGTGGCGCATGCCTTTAATCCCAGCACTCGGGAGGCAGAGGCAGGCGGATCTCTGTGAGTTCGAGGCCAGCCTGGTCTACAGAGCGAGTTCCAGGACAGCCTCCAAAGCCACAGAGAAATCCTGTCTTGAAAAAAAAAAGAGGCAGAGGCAGGAGGATCTCTAAGGTTGAGGCCAACCTGGTCCACAGGGTGAGCTCCAGGACAGCCAGAGCTGTTATACAGAGAGACCCTGTCTCAAAAACAACAACAACAAAAAACAAAAGAAACAAAAAACCCAAGCAGAATTCTTGCAGAAGAATCTCGAGAGCTGGGCTGTAACTCATTGATAGAATATCTGTCTAGCTTGCGTAAAGCCCTGGGCTCAGTCTCCAACACCATACAAAGCTGGGTATGTCGGTCCATGTCTGTAAGCTCAGAACTTGGAACGTAAAGATAGAAGGTCCAGAAATTCAAGGTCATTCTTAGCTACAAATAGGTTGGAGGTTATCCTGGCCTATATGAGACCACATCGCAATTCAACTGTTATCTCTCATTCTCTCTAGATCACAAAATAGAGTTTACTCCTGCACTTGGGAGGCAGAGGCAGAGGCAGGCAGATCTCAGTGAGTTTAAGGCCAGCCTTGTCTACAGAGTGAGTTCCAGGACAGCCAGGACTATTACACAGAGAAACCCTGTCTTGAAAAACCATAAAAATAAATAATAAATAAAAAGAAGTATTTACTCCCACTACCACCAATATTTCTCTAATTATTGAAATTAAAATTGTTCTACTTTATTTTGTCATTTGAAGTTTCACTTTCGTTCTTTTATTTCATTTTCATTTCCCCATTTGTGCCTCCTCCCTGAGGGCTTGGAAAAACCGGGTAGCACTAAGAAGTCATATAATAGCTTTGACCCCAAAGAATGGCTCCAGAGAGGGCGGCTGACGGCTTCCTAAATAAAAAGAACTGGGCCTCCGGTGGTGGCGCACGCCTTTATTCCCAGCACTCAGGAGGCAGAGGCAGGCGGATCTCTGTGAGTTCGAGTCCGGGCTGGACCGACAGCCTCCAAAACAATACAGAGAAACCCTGTCTCATAAAACAAACAAACAAAAAAAAGGACTGAGCCTCATGAAAGACATGAGTCACAAGGGAGCAAAAGCCCAGAGAAGTCCCCACCCCTCCCCACCCTGCTCAACCCTGCCCCCTGCTCAACCCTGCCCTCTGGACTAACGACTAATTCACTCTGCATATTATGAAAATCATGTTTTAAATGTTTATTTCATGCTGGGTATGGTAGCACATGCCCTTAATCCAAACACTCCAGAGGCAGAGGCAGGAAGATCTCTGAGGCCAGCCTGACGCTCACAGAATTCCAGGATGGAATAGAGAGACTGTCTCCAAAACATACATATTTTAACTTTAAATATGTGCATGTGTTTTTGCGGAGGGAGTGGACACCAGTGCGGGTAACTTACAGAAACCAGAGGTGTTGAGTCCCCTGGAGCTGGAGTTGCAGGCAGTTGTGAGTTGCCTGATGTGGGTGCAGAGAACCAAATCTGGGTCCTCTGCAAGAGCAGTACACACTCTGCTCTTAACCACTGAGCTGTCCCTCTCCTCCGGCTCCTCAAAAGCATCCTTTGGTCTGGAAGTGGAGATGATGAGCCACTAACTCAGAGAAGAGAAGGAGGAGAGCACATGGCTGGAGAGATGCTCAGCTGTTAGGGCACTTGTTGCCCCTGCTGAGCAGCCAGCGGTGGCTCCTGGCAACCATACCTCGGCTCACAACCTCCGCGGCTCACAACCTCCGCGGCTCACAACCTCCGCGACTCCAGTCCCGGGGGATCTGGTGCCCTCTTCTCATCTCCGGCACCGGGAATTCACCAGGGGCACAGACATCCATGAGGAAAAAGCATGCCATCTGAAAGTTAAAAATGTTACTAAAATTGGAATACTTCGAGCGACAGAAGCCAGACAAATGCTGCCCCTGCTCTGCCTCTGCAAGCCATGCACTAGTTACGACTTGGCTGCCATGTGAAGAAAATGTAAGTATCTGCAGTTCCTTTCCTTACACCTACCTTCCTGCTAAATTTATCGGGTTTTTTTTTACTTTATCTTTCCTTTCATAAACAAATGTATACACCGAAGCCACTCTTAATCCCGTATTTGAGAGTGACCCCTCCCCACTCACTGCCACCCCAACCTCCTCACCCTCAACCCCCTTGGTGAATATTGAACCTAACATCTCAGATGCGCTGGGCAAGCACTCTTCTATTGAACTGTGTCCCGTGCCCTTTTCTTTCTGTTTTAAGGCAGTTTCACTAAGGTACCCAACTTGGCTTTAGAATCACTATGGAGCCATTCAAGCCTTGAGCTTGCATCCTCCTGCCTGAGCCTCTCAAGTAGGGGTCTGGCCACCAGAATACTTTTAAAGCAGTGATTAAGTTAAATAACATCACAAGGTGGGAGGGGCTGTTAGCTCACAGAGGCTGCTCCCATTGAGGGAATCAGCCATACTTCATGTGGTAGTTTGAATAAGAATGCCCCACCCCCAAAAACCCATGATGCCAGGCTGTGCACGCCATTAATCCCAGCACTCGGGAGGCAGAAGCAGGTGGTTTTCTGTGAGTTAGAGGCCAGACTGGTCTACGCAGCAAGTTCCAGGACAACCAAGGCTACACAGAGAAGCCTTGTCTCAAACAAACAAACAAACAAACAAACAAACAAAATTAGGGTCTGGAGAGATGTCTCGGTGGTTAAGAACACTAGCTGGTCTTCAAGAGCTTCTTCAATCTCCAGAAACCACAGGATGGCTCACAACCATCTGTGATGAGATCTGGCGCCCTCCTCTGGCCGGCAGGGATACATGCAAACAGAACACTATACATAACAAACAAATGAATCTTTTAAAAAAAATGCTTCCCATAGGGTCATGTATTTGAATGTTTTGTCACCAGAGGCAAGAACTGTTCGAAATGATTAGAAGAATTAGGGGTGGCATTGTTGGGATAGGTGAGGCCTTGCTGGAGGAGGTGTGTCACTGAGTGTGGGCTTTGAGGTTTCAGAACCCCTGTCAGACTCAGCTCCCTGCTTTGATGATAATGGACTAAGCCTCTGAAACTGTCAGCAATCCCCAAGTTAAACACTTTCTTTTATAAGAGATGCCAAGGTCATG